TGGGGCAGGGGGTGTGGCATGGCCCACATGCCCTGGGAGGAGCTCGGGGTCTGCCGCCTGGGCCCCGCCTGGGCCCTCCCCTTCTCCACCGTGACGCCACCTTCCCGGGCCTCAGTTTCCTCCTGTGCAATGTGGAGATCCCGCCGGTGCTGCTCTCGTAGGGCTGTCACGGGGACTAGTTAGGACGGTGGAACAGAGGGAACGCTGAGCAAGTGTCAGCCCTTACTACCAGGGAGGCACGGAAGAACTTTACAGGATTATGTTAAACAGTACTCCCCTCTCCCCCGCAGACATTGAAGCCTTTAGGGGTTACCGCCTGCCCTGACCCCTGAGGCTGTGGCCCCCTGGGGTTGTGGAGGGAGGATGGGTTGGATGCTTGAAGCCCAGTGCCTGGGACTCGGCCCTCCCCCCAGGGTTCTGCCTCTCAGTCTCCATTTGGGTCCATGCCCGCACATCACCTCCCTACTCCCTACTGTGTCTCTGATGCCTTTCTGTCTTGTGCTGCCGTTCTGCTGCTCTGAGCCGGTTGGCTGGTTAGAGGCTAACATGGAGATGAGGAAGGTCTCAAAAACTCTTTTCTCCGTTGATTTCAGCCGCGTTCCTCTGGAGTTGAGGCCCCTGTGCTGTAGACAGGGCGTGTACGTGCGTGGGGTCTCACAAAGGGCCCTCCCCTGACTAAACATCCAGCACAGCCCAGAGCAGTTTTCAGGGTCTGTCGAGGTCTGTCCAGTAAGATGCAGATGTAGGATATTTCACTTTATGTACCCTAACTATGTAGGACAGTTCACTTTAAATGTCTCGTTTACTTCCTTTTCTGCAACACAGTGACCAGTCTTTAGGCCCAGGGAACACATGCCTCTTACTGTAGTGCCTTTGTTACTTTTTTGGCGCTTGTGGCCAAGATTACAAGAAATCCACACAAGTATTGATTTCCCAGGTGTATGCGTTCCCTAAAGACCAGGTCGGAGACTTTGTTAAGGAGTGTATTACAGTTTATACGATGGAGGTTCCGATCATACACCTTTACTTGTTAAGGAAAGTTTAGACTTAGGGTGGCTTCCCTGAGGCTGGTGACTAGACCTGGGGGCCCTTGAGCGCGCTGGCTCTGTACTAAAGGATGGAGTGTTGGGTGCGCCAGGTGCTGGGAACTACTTTCACTTGTCTCTCCTTCTAGGCGACTCCTCCTTGTTTTTCAGGCACCTGGGACCCCCATTATTGCACGGCAGGTGACCCCAACGACCATAATCAAGCAAGTGTCTCAGGCCCAGACGACGGTACAGCCCAGCACCGCGCTGCAGCGCTCTCCCGGGGTTCAGGTGAGGCTGGGGGCTCCGTGGTGCCCATGACGCAGGGGTCAGGCCTCGCGAGTTTGGGTGCTGGATGCTGTTTTGGAGTTTGGGGAACACAGCGTAGATCAGTTGCTTTTCTTTAAAGTCGCATAGAGTTTAACACCAGCAACATTCTTAAAAGCTTCCCACTGTGCCGGAAGTACAATTGAAAACCTCGCCTTAGTAACTGCATCTGTGAAGCAGAGATCTATAGCGTGGGGGGGGGTGGTAGAGAGAGAGAGAGAGAGAGAGAGAGAGAGAGTGTGTGTGTGTGTGTGTGTGTGTGCGCGCGTGTGCGTGTGTTGCTCACGAACTGTTCCTGCACCGAGGAGGACGTGTCCTCACTGTGTATGTGCGTTCATGCGTGCGATTCTCACAACACCCCTCCCTGATGGGCGCGGACACACGCGGTGTGAGAGGCGCCTCGGCCGGCCTCCCTGCAGCCGCACCTCGTCCAGTGCTCTCTCCACTCACCCTGGTCCTGTCCTCCTTTGCCTTTTGGCGTCTGCAGCAGTGACACTGCTTTTCAGAACAGCTGGAGGAGCGGTTGGGTCCCAAGTAACTGAACTCAGTGGTCTCCCGCAACAGGAGCTGCCCAGGCAACGGCGCTTCCTGAGACGGGGTCTTCTGGCCCGAGTTCAGTCTGATTGGCGCATCTGAACTTCAGTTATAGTGAAAGGAACCTTTTCTGAGAAGGTAGTGAAACTCACGGTCAGCTTTTGCATGAGATTTAGTAGAAAATAAGTTTATCAACATAGGTTCCCACAGTCTCAGAATCATCCAGGTGAAATGTGTATTCATCTGACCAGTAGAAGCAAGTGTGAGGAATAAAGTTTGATGTAAAGGAAAACTCCCAAGAATTGGAAGTGCCCTGGCTGTTTCTGGGTGTCCTGAAGAGCAGCTCTGCTCTTCCCCTTTTGCTGCCCAAAGATGGCTGTTGGTCAGTTCTTTTACGTTTCTCCTCTGAAGTTTTTTATTTGCCATTTTGTAGTTACAAAAGTAATACATGCTTAATGTTACAAGTAAAATACACAAATAATAAAGGAAGAGCCCCATCATCTCTTTCAACTCCTCCCGTGAAACCAGTGTCCACAGCCTGGGGGGTGCAGACAGCTGCCCGCCCACCCCCTGCCGTAGCGGCCGTGCCGTCTGAGTCCGTTGCCCGGCCCAGGGCCTGGTTGCTTAGAAGAGCCGCAGGCGAGTCATGCTTGGGGTTACACTGCCCCCTACCTTCCGAAGTCGTAAGAGAGTAACGTTTGAAAAGTTGGAGAAGGCTCCACTTTTAAGTTGGAAAAGTGCTAATTAAAAAAAAAAAAGCAGTAAATATTTGCATCCTGATTGGTCACGGAGACTAGAAGTCTTGGGAGTTTGACCGAGGACAGTTGTTGTTTGATGTCTAGCTGTTTGTTGGCTTAAGGAAAGTTTAGCAAAGTAGCCCCTCCCTCCCAACACCAACTACATCGAGTCCCCGCCTGCTCTGAAAACCCCCTTTCCAGGATGTTTCTGGATGTGACTCACTTTGGGGGGAGCAAAGAAAGGTTGGTCCGGCAGCGGTGGGGGAGCCCGGGACCCCGACAAGTCCTGGTGCCGCCCCCCGCGTGGGGGGGCGGCCTGCCCGTGTGCATGTGACGTCCTGGCTTCCTTGTCACCAGCCTGCCTGCACGAGCCAGGTGACGGGCTTTTCAGTTGGTTTCTCTGTTTGTTCTTTTCAGTTCTGATACGGGATCTGGTTTGGTTATTAAAAGATCATTTGTTTTGGTCACCATGTGACTTCTAGGATCGACTTCTGACAACCAGGTTCTTCCCGGCCATTGGCTTCGTTCCTGTCAGTTTTTGCTGCAAAATACTGCTTTCTCGGTGCTCAGGAAGGTGGCCCTCGGGGACACGGTCTGCCGCGGGGCTGGTGTGGCCCCTCGAGGCCGCACGTCCCACGGGGTCCCGCCTGCTACAGGGAGTCTCACGAAGGCCATCTCCCCGCAGCCTCTATCTACCTTGTGTTTTGGCTTCTCGTAGCCTCAGCTTGTTCTGGGTGGCGCTGCCCAGACACCCGCACTTGGGACGGCGACAGCTGTTCAGACGGGGACACCTCAGCGAACGGTCCCGGGGGCCACCACCACCTCCACAGCCGCCACGGTGAGTGCCGCCTCTCGGCCGCGATTTGGGGCCACGTGTGTGGTTCGTGCTGCCTCAGAGTGCCAGCCGGCCTGGGGGAGCCACTGCCGCGGACGTGGGGATGCGTTGGGGTCTCCACGGCTCCATATGAGTGGGTCTGAGGGCAGTGGTCTCTGCAGGGCCGCAGGAAGGGTCCACCACCCTACACG